ATTTTCCCATAAAATCTTTCTATAAAAAGAAGACTGAGTTCATAAAATAAAATATTTTACTAAAAATGTATTAAATGTTATAATGTTTTGATAAATAAATACTATGTTTTATTTCACATCACAAAATAAAATCAAAATGTGCAAAAATACTAGCTGATAAATCTACTTCGTATTTAAATTTTCTTTTCAAAATATATGAACAACAAGATTCAAAACCACGTCGTCCTGCCAAAAGAAATCGCCTACCAGTGGTCCCTACTGGCTATAACAAGCGGTACTGGCCCCTCAGCCGGTTGGCTACTAATATATATTGCCTACTGGAGTCGCTTATTGATAGGTCGTAGTGCTTCTCCCATTCAGCCAGCGCAGTTGTAGTGATGTCCGGATTTGACATTTTATAGACTATTTTCTGACGTCATAGCTGTTTCCGAAGTTGCGCTTTTCCTGCTTGGGTAAGCTGGAAAAATCTCTCGAACTTGGAGACAAACATTAAAGACTTAGACCATGTTTATCAATGATTTTAGGTTAGTATCATAAGCCCAAAATATCAATAAACAATTAAAAACAGAATTAAAGAGATGAAATCCACTTGATAAGTCTCAGTCCAATGAGACTTTTGTGTAGTCTCAAGAGACATTTATTAATATATTTAAGAGCAATTACAAAAATGTCACTTTTTGTGTGCACATTTGCAAGAATGCCACTTAGGGATGTCNATTTACAAAAATACCACTAATTATAGATTTATAAAACCTATATCTTAAAATTCTAAACCCTAAAAAATATTTTGACACCTAAAACCCCCTAAACACTCAAAACTAAACTCTAATAGAACATAATTAACCCAAACATAAATAATATAAAGAAAAAATAATTTTGAAAAAGTGGCATAAAGATTTCAAAAGTGTGACATTTTTTGTAAAATAACACTTGAAAATTGACATTTTTTGAAATTTCTCTTTATTTAATCTTATAATACTTTTAGTGTATCATTGATAAACATGCCTGTTACGTTTCACTAATTTTTCTACAAATTGTTTTCTCCGCATGAACTTCTCTGACC